GAAAAAATCATTCCCAAACCTAAGGAAAAAAACAATAATGTTTGCCTCTTGGGGCCCTCTTGACAGTGCTCTTGGAGGCCTCTTGGGTCGTCTGGGGACCATCTTGAGCGTCTTGGAGCGATCTTGTGGCATCTCGGAGCTCTCTTGTATCATCTTGAGGGGCTCTTGGCGGCCTCTTGGCATTTCTTGGGGCTCTATGGACGGCCTCGAGGGCGGCGCCCAGGAGGAAAATCATCTCTGATCCGAGTCTCCCAGGACCTCGGTACTTTTCGTCCGGGGACCGGGCCGCCCCGCGCGCGCGAAGTAGAATTATTGTAAAGCAGTTACCGGAGATCTTAGCACGCCTCTGGCCCGTCGGGCCGGCGAATTTGGCGTTCCTCACGGCAGCAGCCTGACAGTAGAGGATGGAGGATTTTAGATGTGTCCGCCCTCCCCCGGAGGCGCAGGAGTGCCGCGAGCGCGCAGAGGCTTCGACCCTCCATCCTCGATCCTCGAATTCGAGGCACTCGGGCGACGGCGCCGACGACGACCGCGCACCTCCCGAGACCTCCGTCGGGAGGGCGAGGCATGGAGGGCTTCGCTGGAGCACCGCGGTGGAGGCGGGGCGCCTGCGACGACTGCAAAGATAATCGCGCTCCGCGCATCGCAGCTTGGGTTGGAGAGGCGCCCTTCTCCAGGGCGGCGCAAGGGCGCGAAGGCAACCGCGCGGCGCCAGGCGACGGCGTCGTCTGAGAAGTTTTCGAAACCTCCCCCGAAGACACAGAAAACCTTTCAGAATGCCAGAGGCCTTCTGAGAAATCCCGCCGCCTTCTGAGAGGGCCTTCTCCATCTCATTTCCCCCCCCTTCACACGCCACCGAACAACTGCTAAGCTGCCCGCTCGGAGTGGGGACGGCGGATGTTTGCTGCTTGGCGATATCCCCATACCTCCGACGTCTTGGGCAGGTCCAGACGGCATCTTTGGTCCCTATACTCTAAAGCGAGCTGAGGGACGTAAGGAGTGGAAGCGAGCGTGCGCCCGCGGCCGCGTCGGCTCAAGCGGCCGACCGCCCAAATTTGCTTGTGCTTCACTGCGAGGCACACAATCGCTATCGAGACCAAAATGATATTCCTATTGCTTGAGATGGCATCTCCTCTAATACTGGGACTATCGTTATTACGGAACAACAGAGTTGGAGCTTGGCTTCGCCTGGGGCGAAGCTGTTGGTTGGGCCTTCCAGCCCCCTTTAGACTTGGTAGCGGAGCTGGCCTATGGTGGTCAGCTCTAGCTCTGCTCCTCACCATCCACGGCACTATCTGGTGGACGACATACACGGTGGAACGTCAGGGTGCAGTTGGATTGCGCGGAAGAGTGCATACAACCGCAAGGAAACTTGCAGCGATACCTCTGTCCAGGCGGAGGTCTGTCACTCACATCTTACATCCCTGCGCTATTACACTCCAGAAGTCCACCCACCTTCTCCAATTGGAAATTTCTTCCAAGACATAATGCATGGAAACATGCGATACGACATACCGCCGCCCCCGACCCCACGCAGATTTACGACGACAAAGCATAAGTCCCCACTACGACTTCCGAGGCCGCTGGATTGGGGTTACTATATTTGGGCTCATATGGGTCGCTCTCGGGTGTGCGGTGGAGCAAATGCGGGGCGGAGACGACTCTAGAACGACTGGCCCCCATCGGGACCCTGCCGGTCAAGTACCATTTCGCGAGTTCGTCCGCGAAGTACATGCTTGGATCAATGTGACCACAGGCAACATGACGCCCTCCCAGCAAACCGCCGCATTGCAGCGAGGTTCGGGAGACCCCGCGCGGACTATAGTCATGAGGGTCCCCCCAGCAGTTATTAATTTTGGCGTCAATATAGGCGGTCGCCACACCGACGGCGTCACCTACATTATGTTCCTCTTAAGTACGGAGTTCGAGAACCTAGAAGAGGAACGCCAACTCAACTCTGGCACGGTTCTCATTGACTTTCGAGTCCATGCGGGTGAACGTATCGACCAGACGTTAGCACGGTTCGAAATAGCCCGCTACGAAGCTGAAGCCGCCGGCTTCAATATCCCCAACATCCAAATCCGAACAGTAATTATATTCAGAGCTCTTGGAGTGGGGACATCGCGTGCACAACAACTCCTACAGCCTCTGAACCACCACATGCCGAGGGACCAACCACAATTTGACGCTCGACTTGAACGTATGAGGTCATATGGTCACATAGCTGAGAGGACCCCTGGCAATATTGGTGGTATCTTTCGGCGCGGTCACCGAACCGAGACTTTCCACGCAGAGGCCAACGCAGGGCAACCTGCCAACAACGTCTGGAACGATGACCCGCAGCCGACTGAGACCACTACACTGTTGGCTGAGAATGGTGGAACGGCCTCGGGTCGCAAGACCCCTAGGCCAGATCCAGGGGACCGCCCGACGCGGCTTCCCGGTATACAAGCTATGACCCTAATGGGCTCAGCGGGGCAACCCGCCGAGTCCGACTTCGACTCCGGTACCGATGCGGACGCGTCTTCCGATGATGAAACTACCGCCTTGGATTGCACTGATATGTCTACATACCTTACTGAAGAGCAGCAAGATCAATGGTTATTGTTGGGCCATCAAGAACACAAGCGTCGTCGGCGGAAGGTTCGCGGAGAAAACAGTCCGAAGGGTAAGACGTATTTCACGACGGTCACGTAAAGGAAAAGGCAAGGGTCGAAGTATAGGCAAAGGTGAGCGTCGGCGATTACATGGTAGAGGCATACTAGCATTCCTAGCGTCTCTTCCTGGACCTCAGCACGGGGAAATGTTTAAAGGCACCGGCAGAGACCGCAGGGATACATCATGCAAAGGTACAGGACGACGAGGAGATCCAAAGGGTGCCAACGGTAAAACTATGGAGTGCGACATATGTCGCAGCGCACAACATTTCCGACGCGAATGCCCCCAAGGTGATGGAAGAGGCAGGGGTCCGTCAGTGCATCTGGCTCAAACGGACTCCGACATACAGCGCGTTGAGTGGGGGTCGCTTGTAGCCGACCCTGCCGACGGCTCAGCCAATATTGTTCATTTCGTGGTTGCCAGGTATCCAAGTGCCGGCGTGACCCTCGAGAACTACGCCGACGAGCTGTTCGAGCAGGTGTTCACTGGCCACAGCGACGCCGATTTGGCAGAATGGCTGGGTGCACCCATCGTGGGACAACCTGCAAAAATTGAGTTCGTCGAGAACTTCCACATGCCCGTCGAAGGTGACTCTGGCATGGCGGGGGCACCCGCGAACTCAGATTCTACCAGTCTTGCAACAGGTGAGGAAATACCTGCAATGCTTTATCCTCGGGTGACTGGATATCCGACAAACACGGAATTAATCGATGATGATCTTCTGCGGGGGAATCCGCGCGACGCTGGTGAATTATCTGGGCGTGTTCAATATGAGTTTGGGCATAATGAAGAATTTCAGCATACTTATGTCGCGTCAGATCGGTCCGCCAGCAGCCAGAGACGATCGCCAAGCCTCTTGCCCTTGATCGGGAAGAGCTATCATGACGATCCATGTCTCTCCCCGGTGGACGAGGAGGACGAGCGGGAAGGCGATGGCCGCGTGATGCGTCGCGGCCGGGGCCCCAGTCACTCGCCAGATCGCGCGCGGGTCCGTTCGAGCGGCGTTCGTTCGAGCGGTGGTCAGCGTCTTCGTCTTGCTGACGCGGGAACCACAAGGGGCCCACCATGACAGGCGACTAGAGCACATGCCCCCCCACGGAGGGGCCGTCTGCGGGGAAACCCGCTTCGAGATGACCAACAGCGAAGAGCAGCATATCCAGAAGGTGGCGCGCAGCGCTGGTCAGCACGCGCCCGCAAACCAGATGGAAGACGGGTTGGAAAGGGGTTGGAATGAGCATCAAATCCGGCACTGGTATTCTCTTCGCCAGGTCAAACGAGATGACGCAGGCAATATCATTCGTTCAACGGCGGGACCTACCAAATCGCAAGACACAATTGCCAAGCGCAACCTCAAGAGGGCCATCATCGAGGATCGAAAGCGCTACAGGGGTGTTTGTTGCACTTGCCCCGGCCATGCTGATCGCAGGCTCGGCTGCCCCGTGGCGCGCCCATCAAGAGGCCCGAATTTCAAAAGAACGCCGTGTGTTTGGTCTCATGGAGATGGTCGGGGTCACTGCACCGATCCCAACATTACGCCGTATCTCGAGCAGTTGGCGGAAAAAGATGTCGACCCCGCCGCCGCTGAAGAAATAGCTCATTCAAGCCTCGTTTGGCAGAACTTGATACCTACTCATTAGTTGGCGCAGTACAATCGCGAGTGGCGCGCGGGGAGACCTGCTGTTCACACATCAGAAGAAGAAGGCCCACGAGAAGCTGGTGAAGATGAAGATGATGAGATGGCTGAAGAAGTTGATCCTACGGACGCTGCCCCTGGCGGCGGTGAGTCAAGCGACTCGGGTATCACGGACGTTCCGTGTGAGACGGATACTCCGATCGACCCCGAGTACGTTGTCAGAAGGGATATGGATCTATCTCTTGGGAGGCGGATTGTTTACCGTGCTGATAGTATTGGCTTGAAAAAAGGCAAGCATAGTCGAAAGACGAAACGCCGATACGTATGTAGTTGCACATAAACACAAGGTCAAATTAAGAATATGGCCCTCAGGAGGCCAGATGGTATCGATCTGAATCCTGACCGAGGCCCCATGCGATGTGCGCCTGGGACGGCGGCAGGAGCCACGGCAAAGGCAACTCCCAAGCCGAAGCCAGAGACGATCGATCTTCCTTCACTCTGACTCATCAAGCCCATCTCTTGGTCCTGACCATCTTAAGCTCAAGAAGAAGAAGAGGAATAGCCCAGATGAGCCCAGCCCTGGGGACAGCAAGCAGCAGCGATATGCGGGGCAACCTGCAGATCGACAACGACCCAGAGGACCGGCAGTGGCCGCCGCAGCAGCTGCATTTCAGGGCACCAGTACACCTACTCAAAAGGAACCTGTGCCACGTTGCGGCCCTACGCCACGTCGGGCGCACAGGACAGGCTGGGTGCCCGCGCTGGAAGGACGGACAAGGGATACCACTTCTACGCTACGTGGCACTGAGAAGCTCCTTGCTACCACACCAAGGGGGCCAGGAGCAGTGCCCAGAGATAAGACTGCCGAGCCCTACAACATCAAGGAGAAGAAACGCCAGGACTTCGATATCAGTACCCCGCCAGGAACTCCAAGGACGCCCAGAGGATCGGTTGGCGCTGCCGCATCGGCGGCGAGCGCAGCAGCGCCTGCCGCGCCAATGGCAGCCCCGCGTTCCGCGGGGCGACCTGCTCAGAGTTCTGCGGGGCAACCTGCTCAGAGTTCAGCGGGGCATCCGGCCCCTGCGTTGGAGGTACCGCCGGAATGTCAAGAGTTCTGGGAAAAGATGCGCGCTTCCAATCGCACGAAGATCAACCCAGCGTATCATCCGCGGAATGACGACGGGTCTGAGCGATATATGGCGCTGCTGTGCAACATCGTGGACAATGCTGTCACCATGACCCAGGTTCACACACGCGCCAAGGACTGCGCAACATTCTGCGGAAACGCCCAGTACTCACGTTTGACTCTGGAAGGGAATATCTGGAACACATCCGCAGATCA